CTTCTTAAGTACAGTCCTTTTGTATGAATGATTCTGTCCTGCTGGAGTGTGACATGATTTGTTTGTGTACAAACTATATTTATACTTCTCATTCAACCACAGTTAAATTCACTCTATCTAGGAGGCTCAGTTTATATGGATAGTTTTTATTTTTTACAACAACAAGCTGCAATGAAAACAAGCAGAAATTAAATAAAAGTAACAACTTTATACTTCTTGACTTTTTAAAAAAATATAAGAAGTAAAAAGTAGACTGAAAAATAATTACTCAAGTACAGATACAAAAAAATTCTACTTAAGTACAGTAACAAAGTATTTATACTTAGTTACTTTACAGCTCTGTAATTAGTTTTTTGTACTTACCCTTGACCAAAAGATGGTGATGACGATGACGAGGTGAGCGATGATGGTGAGAAACCGTGCAGGGACCAGACTGCTAATAGCCGACATGCTAATACTATTTTCTTGCAGTTAAAGTTTAGGAGAACTTAAGTGAAAAGTGTAACGTAATTATCAAATCTGTATCGTTAAAAGCAGGTGGGTTTTTTGCTAATTTAGCGCGAAGCTAAAAAAAAAAAAAAAAAAAAAAGCTAAACTTCGTTAACTTAGCTTTTTTTTAGCATGTAGCTCGAGTCAAACATGCTAGCAAGCTGAGCCGTTAGCTTAAAAACATTACCCGGTTTTACTTTACATGACTCCGTGTTTTTGTTTGCAGTATCTTACTTTAACTAACACAACTAGCAGCGTCACGGTGCAACATTTCAGACGCTAAAAAAGGTTGCTACAACAACCACAGGAAGTGTGCACACAGTTTTATTAACCGGAACAAACAACATTTAAAAGTTCCGGCTTCAATTTAAACAGATTTAATAAAAATCCTTTATTATGTCTATGAATCCCCTGTGAGGAAAAAGCGCATTTGTAGAGTTTTATTTGACAGTTTAGGTGAAAAAAAATCAAAGTTATCAACTAGACTGTCTTACGTAAAGTATTTTTGGGGAGTTTATTAGACTGAATGAATTTATTGGCTGTAAGATCAGCCTGTTTAAACATACTTAATCAAAATAAAATCATTTGTATATAAATGTGCGCTGGAGTGTACTAAAAATCTGGAGTCAGTGTACAGAGTTGTAAAGTAACTAAGTACAGTAGAAGTTTTGTGTATCTGTACTTTACTTGAGTAATTATTTTTCAGCCTACTTTTTACTCCTTATATTTTTAAAAAGACAAGAAGTATAAAGTCGTTACTTTTATTTCATTTCTGCTTGTTTTCATTGCAGCTTGTTGTTGTAAAAATAAAAACTATCCATATAAACTGAGCCTCCTAGATAGAGTGAATTTAACTGTGGTTGAATGAGAAGTATAAATATATAAAACTCTGATAGTGTATTAGTTTGTACACAAACAAATCATGTCACACTCCAGCAGGCCAGAATCATTCAAATCAAAGGACTGTACTTAAGAAGTATTTGTATTTCATGAATTATATTCTTACATTTGGCCGCAGCCCTCAGATAGATTTTCATTTTGGGGAAAAGCTTTGTGCAGCCTTGATATATGTATATAAACTGAAACAGCTGGACTAGTGCATCCTAAATTTAACATCCATTCATTCTTTTAATACAACAGTCATTTCTGCAGTTTTTGGGGAGGTCACCTCCTAATAAATGTCCTTACAGAAAATCTAACTGCTCATTTTAAATCTACACTTTGACTTTTAATACTTAACTACAACAAATATCGCATACTTTAAGACTTTTACTCAAGTATTATTCCTAAAGGACACTTTAACTTTTATCAATGTAATTTTTTTGTAAGATTCTTGTACTTTTACTCAAGTATCACTTTGTAGTACTTTATACAACACTGTCAGTGTGTCACCTCTGATATTAACTCAATTTAAGCAAAAACAAGTCCCATAAATCACCCCTCCTGTACAAAACTTGTTTTTACAGCCCTGTGAAAACAACAAACCAGTGCAACTAAAAATGATGAAACATTGAAACCTGACTAAAGAAAGTCAGCCAAGACATTACTGTGTGTTACTGACACCTTTAACTGATCTGAATTCCCTGTTTTAGTTATTTAAAAATATATTTTCACATTTTTATTACCTTTCCTCTTCACTGCTCCACGCTGCCACCTAGTGGACACACCGGAAACTGGAGCAGTTTATGCAGTAAAAGATAAATAAATATTTATTGCCGTAAACAAGATTATTTTTACTTTGCTGTGAGATATAAGAATAAAGGTTTAAAACCAGTATATTTAATAAGACTATTTTAAATTTATATGAATTTCAAACGCAATCGAGCCCGCAGCCTCCGGAACAGGAAACCACCGAGCCCTTCAAAATAAAAGCGATTCACCTCTTCGAGCTTGACATTTACTTGCAGGTTGGCAGACAGATACACAGCTGGAACATAAATTCAAAGACAGCCTGATTTAGACATTTTCCAACCCTGGTTTTAATAATTAGGTCTGTTCCGCTCAGGCAGCTCAGCTCAGCGGCTCTCAGGCAGAGAATCTACCCGCTGACGCTCCGGCAGCTTCAGGCCTGACCGATCAGAACAACCTGCCACCAGGTTTTTTCTTTCTTTTCATTATTATTATTATTATCTCCAGGATCCAGGGCTTTTTAAATCTTATTGTTGTGACGCAGAAGAGGCAGCATGGCGGAATCAGACCTACAAACCTTCACCTCCATGATGGACGCGCTGGTTCGCCTTACTGTGAGTATGATGCTGTTTTTCTTTTTCTTTTTTTAGCCACTTAGCTGAGATACACAGCTTAGACATGTTTTACCTGCACAAGGTGTTTTCTTTGAAGGAATGTGAGGCTGATTTAAAATATATTTATCTATTTGTAGCGATCAAAGAGCAGAAACCCTAAAAGATGCAGCTTTTATGCACATAGATGGAGTAGATTTGTGCTTAATAGTAATATTATTCTTAATATGTTGGCAAATAAAAGCATGAAATGGTTTGAGGTGATGCTAGTTGTCATAGAAACGGGATGCTGCTCTTTGTAGCTGCAGAGGAGGAAAGGACCACTCAACCAGGCTCTTTTTTTTTTGTAACTAGTTCACTTTGAGTTTTTCTCCTGGGGGATTTTAGAGCATCTTTTGAAAGAGTTCAGGAAAAGATATTTATACCTCAAACACCAAACTAATGAATCCAGCACCTGATTCACGTCACAACCAGGGGCGTCACTAGGTTTTAAGGACAAGGGGGGCTTAGCCCCCAGGAGACCGAAAGAATTTTTGTGTATTGTGTGAGTGTATATATATATATATGAGTGAATGTGTGTGTGTGTGTGTGTGTGTGTGTGTGTGTGTGTGTGTGTGTG